GCTTTCCGTAGTTTTCAGAGTCGGCGGGCGGAACAGCGGGTTTCCTAATTTGAAACTTTGTACCGCCTCAAAGGAAGTCCCTTCCTCTCTGCGCAGTGTTCTCTGGAAATATGGCTCATATCTACCAGACATCGACCCTCTCTCTAACTCTGCCAATTTCGTGTCAGATATGTCTCGGAAAGGTAACAGCGTTACGCTTTTTAACAAACTCACCATCTGTTTGTTAGAACTGCGTTCACACGGAACAGACGGTTTCTTAGTAACAAACCAGTTCAGCTTTGCGACGCCGTCCTTTGCAGTGTCAATAGGTTTCTCATAATCTTTGCCAGGCCTAGTCTAGATATAACTCACTCAGGTTTGCTTCTGCAGGTCAAGCAGCCCGTCATCTGCGCCAATCACCACGTGTTCTGCTCGTGCTGCATGGAGATGTGGTTAAAGAAAGCCAACCAGTGTCCCACCTGCAGAGTGCCCATCACAGCCGAGAACCCGTGCAGGGAAATCATCGGTGCGTGGCTACACCGCACACTGACACAAACCAAGACGAATGCGATGCCTAACCAAACATGAGCGCATATTTAAAAATAGTGTCTATAAGGCAGTTTTTCCATAAACAACTAGATTAGGAGAGTCATCGATGGTCCACAGGATATCTGCACAGTTTTGTAGGAATTTCACACTTTTGTAGGCAAATTTAAAGAGTGATCGGGCCCTTTTACGCAAGTTCTACGTCATAAATACATATGTTTGCTTTGGATTTATTGTTTCAGCAGTAGTCAGACATTAAATATGGAACCTCCTTAAATCATAAAGAAAGGGTGGAAGTTTAGACAACCAAAATGATACCAGCTTAGACAATGGGCTTGGCTGAAAATGTGTGAAACTACAAATATTTTCCAAATTCTGTTCTGTTTCTCCGTAGTTACCAGACCTGGTTTTCCGGACTCTGTGACAATCTTGAGTGCTTCCTGGCTTTTTAGTTGCAAACCAGTATGAGAAATAAAATAAAGTTCAGCATCGACCAGCTCTGGTGCTTTACAGAACATCATTCTTTACATGCGGCACTGCAGCTTAAAGCTTGAGATGGACTAAACTCAAAGCTGTGCTTTTCTTACACAATCCATAAGCTAACCAGGCTACAGGAGCACAGATGAATGTTGGACATCTTAAGTGTCTGTGTCTTGTAGAAAAAAAATGGTGAGTTTAATTAGGGATGCACAAAATTTTGGCACCAACATCAGTATTGGCAGCTATTATATTTTTAACATCTTAATATCGGTCTGATTTATAAAATTGGGCTGATATAACAACCAATATTTATTTCCATCTTCTTGCCCTTTATTTCTTAAGGGGGAGGGGTTAGTGTTGGTCATGTGGTGTTTGTTTGGTCATGTGACTGATGCAGTGTAGGATTGTGAGATCACTTTTTTAAGGCATCGAAAGGATGGTATATATTGATAAATACTGATTATTAGCCATCACAGCGATATTGGATATTGATATTTGTCTCAAATTTTTTATATCAGTGCATCCCTAACCCTTGTTTGTTTGTGCTTACCCTCAAGCTTACCAAGATTAGCAATAAAAAGCAGTTATTTAAGACATCACCAGCTACAGTATGTGTGATAACTTTTGAGTTGGAGAAAAAACAAAGTTAATTTTCTGCTAAACCAACCTTGTTATTTTTGATTGTGCAAATCAAATAACTACTATGTCTGTGAAGGAAGAGTGTATAAGAGTTTTTGTTCTCAAATAAAAAATAAATATCCAGCCATAAATCAGTGTTCTGCTTCTGCGTTGTGCTCTTTAGAATCCAGGCCTTGTTTACAGAAGTCAGTTTTGATATCTATACGATTATATACGATTAGACTTGTTGCTTGTTAAAAGCTTGTTAAAACTATACTTTAGAGCTGAGAATTAACAGTTTAAAGTGGACTAAATTCAGCTATATGCTATAAAGGACTGATCAAAAGCTTTGAGTTGTCACCATATTGAAGTCAGATCCATTACTCAGCTGTGAGGAAGACATTTCCAAAATGGCAATGCTCAGAATCCTGTTTGAAAGTTGCATTTATCAAATAGAGGTGTGGAGTTTCTAGTTAATCTCTGGTAGAAATTCTTCCTGGAAATGCTGAAAGCTGATATTTTAATTCTTCTTTAATATCACAGCTCATCTTTTACTGCACTCTGTTTTGTTCCTCCCCACAGGAGGGACAAATGACGGCGATTACAGCGAGAGCCCCTCTACGAGGAAATGTCTGAGGAAAACCAGAGGAGAACTGCTTCTACGAGAGTATGAGGTTGTCAAATATAGATTCCTTTTAGGTTTTATTTTAGTGTCGGTGAAGATATTGAAAAGAGTGCCATATATAGGATTACTGCTGAGTTTTTTTAAGTGGAGTACTATGGAGCAGATACTCATAAAGTCAGTTGGCTATAGAGAACCAACATTAAAGTAATAAGTCAGATAGTCATAAACTTTTTTAGTTGTTGTAGGTACTTAAAGATGTCCTTTGCTGGGCGTGTCATTTCCTGTCCACTTCCTCAAACCTAAACACACTCACCACTCAAAATAATTGAACATGCAATGTACTTATAGGAATGTAATGGACACCTTTTTCGTGTTGCATTTTTTCAAAGAATTAAATTGTTTCGCATTAAAAACATCTGAGGGAAAAAATATAAACAACCAGAAATAGCTATGTTGCATAATTTTATAGTGAATCTGAACCTAACATAAGCTTCAGCTTTTCTTCAAGCATTTCTCACCTGTTTGCATACTCTAGATAAAGTCATTTATTGAGTTTAAGTAAGATTTAAATGATTGCACTAATGTGCAAAGGCGTCACTCAGGAGAAGAACGTTTTCTACAACATTAAAGATGGCCTTTACCAATCTGACAACATATGAGTGGTGAACATAACAGGCCGGAAGATCTGCAGATTGTGGTGGTGGCAGAGTCCTGCTTTGGGGTTACATTTAGTCAGTGAGTCAAGCTGGATAAAATGTTCATCATTTCCAAACTAACTGACTGACTTTTTAATTTTGCTAAATTTTTAGCATAACTTGAACCGAAGCATTCATCCAAATCAACAAAAAATACTCCATCCAGAAGAAATAGACCTTTCCCATGTTTTATTCTTTTTGCCCCAACATATGTATATATTTTTTAACCTTGATATGGTTTAGATGTCAACAATTGAAGTCCTGCTTTCAGATAAATAAAATCTCTTTTTGACAGGAAGAGATTGACGGACTCATCAGAGAAAACGAGGAGCTAAAATCAAAAAATCTAAATCTGGAAGACCAACTTAAGACTGCTTTGCTCCCGTGCAACCTCAACACAGAGCAGCGAGATGACAAGAGAGTGTCGCTGTTTGTGGTGGAGGAATGGAAAAACAAACTCCAAGCTGCCACAGATGTGTGTGATAAGATAAAACAGGACATGGACAAGATGAGAGAGGTAATCTGTAGCTGTTACTATTAAACGGGCCAAGCATGTCCAGAATGCGTTTTATTGTACAATTAATGTTGATTTTGTTGAACTTTTTCGATGCCAATAAATACATATATTAATGTGTTCCTCAGGCAAATAAGACTTTGCGATCTCAAAATGTTGACCTTGTGCAAGAGAACATGAGACTGAAAGCAGAGGTGGCAAGCAGGTCTCCTCAGAAGTAAGTAATGTTTTGGTGTTTCTTACCATCACTTTTTTTTGTATACCATGACTTTTTTTGCCCCCCATTTTCAAAAGTTTTCTTCCATCTTTAAATTAATGAGTTTCAATTTGAGAACATTTTCTTTTTCTCTGAAATATTCAATGTCATGTTCAAATGCAATCTTTTGTTTTCTTCTACTTGAAATATTTTATAAACCTCAACCTTGATTTACAAAAGGGGAGGAAGAGTATTGGATTGGGTTTCTGTCGACAAACATGAGCGTTAGACAGTTTCATCAATAAAAACAAATAAGTCTGGCCTCTAAGAGAGATCAGGTTTACTTTAAGTTTGAAAAAGATGGCCTGTAGACAGTCATGTTCTTTTTATTTCAAAATGTTTAAATTTTACCTTTGCATATCTATTATGCGTGTTTCGTAGTTGCTAGATTGTAAGAAAATCTGTTTTGAAATAGCAAAGACCAATTAAAACAGGTTACGATTCAACTAATTGTCATTTTTACTTGTTTGTTGTCATTTCATGACTAACTGGTCTGTTCTTAGGTTTGGCCGCTTCACGGTGGCAGCCCTGGAAGCTAAGATTCAGCAGTACGAGCGCGACGTCGATCACCTGAAACGCGCTCTTGATCGCAGCGACCAGTACATCGAGGACCTGGAATCTCGTGTCAGGAAGTCTGAGAGCAGACAGCTTGAGACACAAGAAGCTCTTGGGACTAACAAAGGCACGGCCGACGTTCTCCTACAGCAACAAAATATCAGTATGATGATGAGAAGCTTGAGCGACAACGAGAGAAGCTCCATCTGCAGCAATCCGGAAGCGGAGTGTCGACCATTTTCACAGAATTACAGTTTGGTGTTCGTGCCGCCAGCAGATCACAAAGAGTTTAACAGAAATATGCCTGGAGAGAAGAAGAACGAGGACTCTGAAAGCATTTCCTCTGACTTCTTGCCCACCACCCCATCCACTGCTTTCCGCTCTCTGACCCTGAGAAGCCCTGGCATCCGTGAGAAGAAAGTTGCATTTAAACCCATCTCTCATCTGAGAAGGCTCGATTTCGAAGAATATGCTAGCCAGGGCAAGACTAGCATAGCCTTGGAGAAAAAAATCAACAGCCTGGAAAAGTTTCCTAAAGGCTTATATCAAACGGAAATGGAATCCTCCAAATCTGACTTCTGGGGCTCCTGGCAGAGATCAGGTTTGCGGGACATGTCACACCCAGGTCCAAGTAAAGAAAACTTAGCAAAGGGAGCTACATCTGCTACTCTTATCAGAGAGGAGCCTGACAGTTTACAAATGTCCAGTGAGGCATCTATGGATGCAGCTTACCTGGACAAAATATCAGAGTTGGACTCCATGATGCATGATGGAGAAAGCTCCAGTAGCCGGGGATCCCAGTTCTCCTTGGCTTCCTCCCCTCACATAGACTTGGATAACACTCTTGTCCCAGAGCAGCAAACCTGCCCTGACACCTTGTCCGACAATAACGGCAAACCTGCGATTCCAGAGGAGAATAAGAACCAGTGTACAGACACTAACAAGGATAGTGATTTGAATGTCAGCGTTGCTCCAACAGGCTCTGACAAGGAAAGCTTTGCCACTCAGGTGTCGGACGGGATGAATGGTGCCCACGTTTCTGGCTCTGCAGAGCGTACAGGGTCTTCCCTGACTGAAGAAATGTCGTTTGACTTGCTGTTTGATCGTCTGGATGAGATTAAGACTGCTCCCTCTGACTCCCTCAGTCCAGAAACCCAACACCAGGATCAGGATCATGTGAACCCTCCATTCTCCTCTGGCTGCACTAGTAGTAAGCCTGTGAACACAACAAGAGACAGAAGTGCACTGAACGGTTGCCAGCCAATAAAGAGAAAGTCACACAGTCCCTTCAACACAAGCAGCCCCACCAAACTTTCAAAGCTCATGTAATGGCATTGAAAACTGAATTTACAAAACCACATTTCATCCTTTTAGGGTGTAAGTTATTATATTTTTGTTGTGTAGTGTTAAATGAATTAAGCTAGAACAACACTGAGGGTACTTTGTGTAAAGTGGGGTTGTAGGTCTCTTAGCAACTCGATTAACATAAAGCATACTTTCAGCTTGTAACATACTACTAACTCCAACAGGTGTGTACAGAAGTGTCTTGTTTTGTGCTGGGACTTTTATCAGACTTATTTGCAGCCTACTTGTGTGTAGTTTTCCGCTATTAACCAACTCAGATCATTGTTTAATAACAAAAAAAAAAATAAATCAAGATTATCTTGAAACACTGAAATGCTACAAAAAAAAAAATTGTTAGGAAATAAAGAAGTAATGCAAAGCAAAAAAAAAAAGTATGAAAACTGTGTACGTTTCTGCATTTCTGCTGCCTTGAGCACCTGGTGTGGCTCCTGTTCAACAGTGATGGTCCTCTGTTTTGTAGTGACATTCCAACATTTTTTTTTTTTTACCGCATATGACTTGCAATACCTTAAGCTGTCACAATTATTAATACATTGCTATTAAAAATGGAAACGGCACAGCCTGTTCATGTCGACAAGAACCTCGTAAGGACACACATTAGAGACCTCACACACAGCAGCAGCGAGCCGCCTTATTTATTATGCAAATTTAACGGTGCCGTGTATATTTCACATACCTCTAATCACTGCATGAAATTTTAATTGGATAACCATTGTGGTTTGAATTAATGAAGTGTTAATTCATTGCGATTAATTAATTTAGATAAAGACCGGTGCAAGGTTTGGTGATGTATTAAATCAATTTGTTTTGCACTCATCTGGCAATGATGGGCCTTAATGATCAGGTGGTGCTCCCCATTTTCTTTTAATTAGGGGTGAAAAAGAACGCCGCTGCCACCTGGATTGGAAACTTTACCAATATAACTGGATGTCCTTAATAGTGGTTAAAAAAAGAAAACCAGAATAGGCTGAATATTCTGATGTGATTTCACGAAATGTTACTTTTCTGTCTCAGATTACATTAAGAGTGAGTGTAGACAATTGCATTATATATATATATATATATATATATATATATATATATATATATATATATATATATAGAGCTACACAAGCCAAAATTAGCTGCACTGGGTCATTTGTGAACTGGAGCTGAAGTAAAGAATGAGGCCTGAAAGCTACTGATGCACTCCTGTAGCTGGATAGAGAAAAAGCCCTAAAACGCAAGCAACTACTCTCCAGATGTGATTGCCTGCCCTGTGAGCAGTTTTTTTTTCTTTTTTTTTCTTTTTTATCTGTCAGCCAGTTCACTGTTCTGGCAGCTTGTGTCTCGCGAGAGCAGCCGAGCACGGGCTTGACGAGATCTGAGGCGCTCAGGTGTAAGAGCCTCTCTCATCCCCAGCAGTGGGGGAAACAGTAGACAGATAAGTGCGTCTGAGAGACTGCAGGCATCTCTGTGATCTCCGGGCACAAGGCTGCCGCACTCGGCGCAACTACAGAGCGAACCGCACTGCATCATTACCGAATAGGCAAAGGATCTGTGATTATCTATGACTATTTTCCAGCTCTCGTAGCTGTTTCCCCCCTCTGTTTTATTTATTTATTTATTTATTTTTCTTCTCCTGTGCACTTTAATTCGAGACGTTCGCCAAGATGATGTCCATGAACAGCAAACAGCCGCACTTCGCCATGCATCCCTCCTTACCCGAGCACAAGTACACCACTCTGCATTCCAGCTCGGAAGCTATAAGGAGAGCCTGCCTGCAAACTCCACAGGTAAATGATCCCAGAAAACTTTACCTTCTTTGTCACTTTTTCCTGCCTCGGCTGCTCGCAAGCGACGAGCGCTGTCTTGTGCGTAATAACGAGAGGCGCTTCAAGGCACTTTCCGCCAAGACGCGCGCTTAATGTTTTTTTCATGTATTCCACAGCAATCACTCGGAGAGTCTGTGATCTTTTTGAAAGCATGCTCACGCAAAAGCCCGGCGTTTGCCGTTTTTGTATTAATTTTTATGACTTCCCGCCTCTGAAGGAATACTCAACTCTGCTACGTGTCGCCAAAAGTACCGACTGACAGATGCATTTATGCACGTTTCTTTTTTCCTCTTTTCCTTCCATGTGCCGTTTCCTATTTTGCACCCACTCACTTTCTTCTCCTCTTCCCTTTCTTTTTTCTTTTTTTTTTCGTTTTTTATTTTTTTATTTTTTATTTTTTGCCCTCGCAGCTACAGAGCAACATATTCGCGAGTCTGGATGAGACCTTGCTGGCCCGGGCAGAGGCTTTGGCCGCCGTGGACATCGCCGTGTCCCAGGGCAAGACGCACCCTTTCAAACCGGACGCCACCTACCACACGATGAGCACGGTGCCATGCTCGTCGACGTCCACCGTGCCCCTGGCCCACCACCACCACCATCACCACCACCACCACCACCAGAACCTGGAGCCTCCGGACATCATGGATCACATCGGCTCGCCGTCCCTCACCCTGATGTCCAGCGCGCACGACGGGACAGGCGGAGGAGGTGGCGGGGGAGGCGGAGGTGGCGGCGGAGGGCTCATCTCCACCTCCTCTGCCCACCCGCATTCCCACATGCACGGTTTGGGTCACCTATCCCACCAGGCAATGAGCATGAACTCGTCGCTCACCCACCACGGGCTCTTACCGGGCCATCACGGTGGAAGCCAAGGCGGCCCAGGGCTCACAAACCCCGGACTTCCCTCCATCAATGACTCGGACACAGACCCAAGGGAGCTGGAGGCTTTCGCTGAGCGCTTCAAGCAGCGGAGGATCAAGCTGGGGGTGACCCAGGCGGACGTGGGCAGCGCTCTGGCTAATCTCAAAATCCCCGGTGTGGGCTCGCTGAGCCAAAGTACAATTTGTCGATTTGAGTCCTTAACTCTGTCCCACAACAACATGATTGCGCTCAAACCCATCCTCCAGGCCTGGCTGGAGGAGGCCGAGGGGGCCCAGAGGGAGAAAATGAGCAAACCTGACATTTTCAACGGGGGGGAAAAGAAACGGAAGAGGACCTCGATAGCAGCCCCGGAAAAGAGGTCTTTGGAGGCTTACTTCGCCGTACAGCCTCGGCCGTCCTCCGAGAAAATAGCGGCTATAGCTGAAAAGTTGGACTTGAAAAAAAATGTGGTGCGAGTGTGGTTTTGTAACCAAAGACAGAAGCAGAAAAGGTTGAAATTTTCAGCTGCTCACTGATGGGCAAAGAGAACGGAGAGAAAAGAAATGAAGAGTGACTGAATCTGGGGACCAAGGGACACTAACAAGACACCATTTTCAGTCTTTTGTCTCCAGCGACTTTACACGTTGGTGCACAATGGGCTATAGGCACCCATTTTATGAGGCTTCATATATCTTGTTTATTTTTCACGTTATTGGTGAATGTGAAGTATGCAAATACCAGACTACACAAATTTCGCTCAGTTGTTGCGAGGGAAAAGTTTAGCGTCGTCGTCATTGCCTTTTAAAACGCGTGGAAAGACGTGATTTGCTTGATACAATATAGCGAGTTGTTTTTCTTCTCTAATAGGCCTATGATTTGAAATATAGCCATTTACGAATTACCTCATTTATTGTTGAACTGTGTTTCGGTTTGATTCTTGTCACTGTTTGGTATAGAGTAATTCACGAAGCTGTTTATTTATTTATTCATGTGTTCCTTTATTCTAATTTTAGAAGCTGCTATAAACTTCGAATTTTGTTGCAAACTTTAATGTCTAACGAAAAAAAAAATTAATAAAATAAATTGGGCCTGCATGAAATACTAATTCACGGGAAGAAAATAAGCCTCTACAGGTCGTCATAATAACTACAGATATATTTATTTAAATTTGCACACACAAAAAAAGACCCTTTAGATTTAGATCGACATGGTTTGTATGTACAGACTACAGATTATCACTTACAAGAGGCGAACTCCTGTGTTTTGGAAACAATTTCTAAGGGTCTTGCGACACCTTTGACATCACAGATCAGAGCGCGAAAAGCTTGTGTGCTTCATGAAGGAGTAATCACAATTTAAAAAAAAAAGGAAATTTTTTTTCTTTTATGTGTTTCAGTTTGCAGTGCAAACACTCTATGCATTTATGAAAAAAAAAAAAGAATAAATCACTGCTTACAGTAGTGCTATCTACTGATAGACCTTATTTTTTTGTGGGTGGTTGTAAGTCACTGTTAAATGCTTGTTTTCGCATTAAGATCACCTCGTTGTTTGTCGTGTTAACTGTTACGGAGTCGTTGTGTAAGTACTATTTACTTTGTGCACAGGTATGTTTACAAAACTACGGCGACATGTGCATCATGGAAAATGTCTCCTTCCCTCACTCACAACTTCTACACTCTCCTCTGTTGTCCTCTTACTTTCATTGGTACTCTCCATCCTGTACGCCAAAATCCAACGGGGAGTGTGTTCCAGCAATCTTCTAATAAATCAAAGAAAGAAAACCGTGCTTTTTTTTTTTGGTTATGATTGGACACACTACTCAAGGGGCTCATTGTTGTTGCACAATATTATAGCAACAGCTTTGCTAAAACTGAAATGATTTTAGTATGACACGAAGTTATGTTTTTCCCCCTCAGCTCTGTTTTCTTTGTTTCCTTTTATTTCTTTTTTCTGTCTTTTTCTCTTTTTTTCACCTTTTTTTGCAAATAAAGCTTGGATGGGAAATGTATTTTATTTGAATCACACATATTAAATCAAACAACGAATTATTGTATTGTCAAATTAAAAATATGAAAAAAATATATTGTTAATATTCACTTACATTCGATAATAATATAATAATAATTGTAAGAATAATAATTAATAATAAATCCGTTTTTTTAAATAAATTACACAGTAGACATTAGCATAAAAAGAGAAAAAAAAATCGGACAAAAGTTTGTTTCCAATAGCTATCCCCTTAATAAAATCAATAAAAATTAACAATAATAATGCAGTAGTTTATTCAGAAATTAATGTTCCTTTGCCAAGTAAAATGCAATTAGCAGTTTTGAAAATTTCAGGATAGAGCTCCACTCTTCTAGATTTATGGCGATGCCAGGCCTTGACAACACACTTTAGATCCACTGAAGTGTCACAGCAAAGTCAGAATAACTCAACGGTAGCATTAAAGAGGGCATGCAAATGAATAAGAAGAAGAAGAAAAAAGAAAGAAAGAAGCTAGCAAAACAACAAAAAGTAATAAAATATCAGATTGTGTCTTTGAAATATCACAATGAAATCTGATCCCTCCTTTAACTGTGCTGTTTTAACTCTAAACCTGCACGGAATGTTTTTTTTTTTCTTCCTTCACATTCGCCTGTTACTTGGTCCTATGAATTACTCTGAATTTTTATAAGCGTGTAATGCAATATTAATCAAGGTTTGCCGCTATAAAATGCAATACTTTCAGTCGGCATTCGGGGTTTTCAGAGGAAGTGGGCATGTGGAGGACGTCGTTTGTATAACAGCAGCGAAAGCTTCTCGTTTTTGTTTTCTGTAGCTTTTTGGCCAAATTGGACAGAAGAGGAAGCGGCTCGTCAAAGTAAGTAGGCCTTTTTTAAATTTCACATAGTTTTTAACCTGAAGGAAATTAGATTGTTTAACGTTTTTCAGACACAAAGCTTAGAACGGAATACAGCTTGGTGATTTGTAGCAAATAATAATTAATGCCATTTATTGAAAACTTGAATGCTATCTATCTATCTATCTATCTATCTATCTATCTATCTATCTATCTATCTATCTATCTATCTATCTATCTATCTATCTATCTATCTATCTATCTATCTGATAATTTATTTATTTATTTTTTATTTATTCATTCATTCATTTATTTATTTTTAGTACGGACAGTCAGCCACGCAGCACCGTTGGCACTGAACACTCTCCACCGGCGGCACCACACGCGCCACATGGCACATCATTTCAGCACCACGAACAGCTCCGCTGGCGGACTGAAGAGTAATGCATTATTGAAAGCCTATATCAAACAGCTCTGGGGTGCTGTCTCTCTGCACAAGGGTCTGTGGATGAAGTCGGACTGTCTGCCTTCACAATAGCCTCTAATATGTTAATGGCCGTAGGGGATGCCTGAGGTACCGTCCCCAGCTGCCTCGCCTACCATATGTCAAGCCGTTACGACAGAGCCCTCTATTAATCAGTTGGGGATATTTCATCGATGGCCTCGACGATATCATAACCCTTAAAGCTCCATCAATACTGCACCTCGCATCGTCACCTGATCTCAGGTATTCATAATACAGAGGCCTGAGACAGAGAGAGAGAAAAAAAAGAAAAAAGAAAAAAAGGCCTTCTCTTCCCCTTTGCATGTCTGGATCGTTCAAGTACCTTAAATTCTTCCCACCGTGTTACTTCCCGTGATGCTTTGGTCGGGCTTCTTGGGCCACAGAAAACTGGTTTCACATTATTATTATTATTATTATTATTATTATTATTATTATTATTATTATTATTATTATTATTATTATTATTATTATTATTATTATTCACCATATAGGCAAATTTCGCCCATATTAATCACATCTTCTGCTTCCGCCTTTGTATCCTTGCGTAGGCCGTGATGGATTAATCGTGGAGCCTTCCAAAGGATCCCATAACTTAATTCCTGCAGGCTACTAGTCAGGGGAGTAATTAATCTATACCGCGGATGTAAATAAAAGGAAATTGGATTCCTGACAGACGAAATGAGCGAGTCTCTGACACCACCTCGGCAAATAATGATTTCGCCACGTTATGGTTACGCGGGGCGCTTAGATTTACGAGCGTACGAGTTTTTACTATGGCTCTGAGCGGAAGAAAGTGAGCCTACTCTAATCGCAGCTGTTAGGCACCCAGGTTAAGATGGATTAGATCATTATAATTACAAGATGACGCGCTGAAGGTAAAAGGGAAGGAGGGTTGGGGGTGGGGGGGATGCTTACAATTGACGTTTTGTTCGGTTATTTGTTTAATCTGAACTCATTTTTGTTTTTGATATTATTCTAGGCTAGCTTATGAATTTTCTTCAAAAATAAATAATAAAAAGAGAAGCCTCAGATGGCTCAGTTGATCTAACAATGCGCGCTAAGGTTGGCCTTTGGACGGAAATGTCAAACCTGGGATGCGGATGGGTAGATCCCCCAGATCTGCACTCATTTCCCACTCATATTTGCTCAGTAATCCGCCGTGGCAGCCCTTCATCGCCGGGGACCCGGTTTGAGAGGCGGTGCTGTTGACACAGGGGTATATTTCAATCACAGAGGGTTCAGAGTCAGACGCACAACTTATTTGTCTAATAAATCCGTCATTTAGTAAGAAAAATATTTGATCTTGAGGGGCTGACCTCTTGTCATGTAGCGAATGAGAGATAAAAATGGATATGGACGCATCAAGGATATGCAGGTCGCCTTCATAACAAAAAAGGAAAAACAAAACTATTTAGATTTGTATTAGTGTGGAGCACAAAAGTCCTATTGTGGGTGTAGTTGTTTAGATGACGGGTCAAAAAGTTGCAGGGAAGCAAAAGAATAGGCGACGTGATGGGAACAGTTCAAACTTGCAGAGGTGGTGACTTTTTTGTATTTGGAAATAAATTAACGACTAAGATTGGGAGTCTATAGAAGCGAAATTTGATACTTCAGTTCTTTGCTCTGTGGATTTCAATACGTACTTCAATTGGGACTGATAATAATAATAATAATAATAATAATAATAATAATAATAATAATAATAATAATAATAATAATAATAATTGTACACTAGCTGTGGAAGTTGACAACTTCATAAGATTTACAAATTATAATTTATAAAAAAACAAACAAACAAAAAAACAGGAATAAACCCCTACATCCTCTTTTTTCATTTTGCTCTTCCCAAAAGATCTATTTATAATTACATTTATTTTGTCACAAAAACAAACAAACAAACAAACAAACAAACAAACAAACAAACAAACAAACAAACAAACACAAAAACTCTTGTCAAAGTTGGAAAAGGTTCCAAAATCAATACTTATGTAGCAACCAACCACAGACTGAGTATTAATCAATGAACCATGATCACCCATTCAGTTCTGTTTTGTGTCACATCTTTGCACCATGCAGATAATTAGTAGGGTACCTATAAACTCGACCCACAAGATACCTGTTGGAAATGTACACAACATTCTTTCACAATGGCCCAATGGTCAAGTTTAGTCCAAATAAAAACTAAAATAAAAAATACAAATCTGGAAATATGCACGGTTTAACCTTCGTACAGTTGTTTGAAGTCACCGCTTGACAACTAAACTGATAAAGTGTGACACTAAAACATCAAAACACTTGTCAGTGTCTTCACGTGATCATGGCGGGATGTTTCAACTCGTTCTCAAATCACGTCCCGCCACCTAAATGTCACTTTATGCTAAACCTGCCTCACTTCCTAAATGTCACTTATTTCCCAGTCCTTGCCTTCAAAGAGCCGCCACGGCCCCGGGCGGAGTGCTCTTTGAACCCTGCTCCCTTTCGTCATTACTCGCACGTGTATCAGCAGGTAGGCGCGCGAGACAAGAGAGGGGAGAGCGACCGGAAACATAAGGAAGGTAGGAGGGGGAACATGCCATATTAGGAGACCCAACGTCAGCGTCATCGACGTAAACTCAAGAGAAGCGACAGGAGTTTTAAACTAATGTTTTGTTTAGTGTGAATTTACAGATTTTTTTTAAATACTTTACTCAAAATAATAATAATAAAAAATAAACAAAATAATACAACGTAGGACAAGAACTTTAGTTCTCTGTCTAGGAGAGTCAGGCTCAGTAAGGTTAACCAAAGGTGAATACCTCTTCAAAGTTCATAATTCTTTAAAACGCACATTCTATTGATTCTAACCTTGACTACATAAGCTAAACCCAAATCTTACAATAAGTATGCACAATACTTTAAAACAAAAATAATGTATGTACAAGAGAAAGGCATTATTCTTTTTTTATATTGCAAAATAATTTTTCTCTTCTTTATTTGCAAAATGTAAAATAAGAAGTTAATGCTTGGAGCGGTGATTTGTGCAGGGAATGAATAAATTAGTTTTTTCTACCTCCACGACGACTTTGTTTCTGACCTGTTTATGTCACTGTCCTTTGTGCTGAAATGCTTTGCATAGTCCTTTTGGGATAATCTCCAGTATGTTTCCACTTAATAAACTTTGTTTTAGCTTCTACTATCAACTTTTCCATTTGTACCTTTACGTACACCATTAAACCATCAAAATCATATTTACAGGTGTTTCGGAATCTAGGTGCTTCATCCATAACTGGTTCTGCGTGGTTTGCTTTGCACATATTTAAGGTCTAGACTTTCGTGTGGTGGGGAAATGTAGGGGCATTTCATGTTGCTGACAGGGGCCAGGTCCCCATCGGAGAGATATTCAATATCTTCCTCTGTACACACGGACTTCGATAATGAGGAGGGTGTCGGCCACCATTTGCCCGCCGCCACGCCATCAAATATTCATCACTGTTGATTAAACAGCCGGCAGCTGCCGATCGGCCGGGTGTCAAGTTTGTATCCAGCTACCTCTGCATACATTCAACCAGAATACAATACACTGGGCCCCCGAAACGCTCGCTGAAATCGCACATAAGTTCACCGAGTGTCTAGGCTACGAGTAGCCCGTGAACGCGTCTGTGGAGGGGTGAGAGGTTTGCGAGGTGAACTTCGCATGCTCTCTCAAAATAAACCGAGGCTTAAGCGGACATTTACGTTTACATCCCTTGACTATCAGCTAAAATGACAGAAAGAAAAATATATGTGTGTGAGTTGATGTGTGAGAGGTTACTGCGAGGCACCGTAAATATTTCATGAGTTGTTAGAGGTTGGGGTAGACAGGGAGGACTGCCCGGGAAGGTTGGTTCAACTCATTTGCTGAACTCGAAGCATACAGGGGAACAAATGTTGATGCTCTCTCTCTCTCTCTCTCTCTCTTTCTCTCTCTCTCTCTCTCTCTCTCTCTGTCACGCGCATGCACGCACGCACACACTGAAAATCTGAAATCTGTTAAAGTAGTGGAGCAGCAGCGATCGTGAGATTTATTTTTAGCCCCTCTTGTTCTGATACTATTCTAAAGATGCAATATTCAATCACAACGGGGCAGAAGTCTAATTGTATCAAACTCTGGAACTATAACTTTTTAAATACATTTTCACGGAAACATAATGGCTAAATTAACCGGCTTCATCCAGCTTCACAAAACCCACAAAACTGATATAGAACAGGTTTTATGAACATTTTCATTCTCCATTCTCTAATAGTCCCCAGTCTTTTCAACTAGACCAAACACAGAAACAAACACCTCAGCACATTTTATATTCTGGACGATTTAAACTTTACAGATTAGATCGTCCAACTAAATATCTTTAACTTTTTTTCTCCATCGCTAAAGTAGAAATCTGAAACTCTGTCTGAAGCTAACATCCACAGTCAACTATTTTCTCTTTTATTATTATTATTTTTTGCATGATCCTAGTTTATAAATGTCATAAAATTTCAAGTACCAGAAGGGTGAGAGCTATTGAAACTCCAGTTATCCAGAATAATCACTTTTCACATTGGTATACAAAAATAAATCCCAAAAAAGTAGCATATTCACAAGCAGAAAACCTTTTGACAGTGAGCTTGATGAAGAGTTTTTTTTTAACTTTGTATCTTAGAGTTTAAGAAAAAAACAACAACCTTAAAACCATGAAAGAATGAAGCAAACAAATCTCATGTGCCATTTCCGTTGGTTTTCAAAGCAGATAAAAATTATAAAACACCCACTAAAAAAGGAATATTTTGATTAATGTCTACCTGAAATAAGGCGGCTCAAGAAGGCTCAACATATTGAAGTATGTCACTGTTCATGGCTTTAAACAAATAACTGCTTGTTTTCTTGGTCAAATATACAATTTGCCCAATAGAAGTGTAGCCACTTATTGGTGACACTGAAAAATGACATAGCAAGCACTTTAGTTACAAACATTGGTGGAGCTTCATGACAGTGGACACAGGTGTCCCCTCTACCATCTAAAACACTCTGCATTTAAAACACATTTTACTCTACAATATTGAAATGTTTTGAGTCTCTTTGAGGGAATAAACAAACCAAGGCTGATGGATAATGACGCAACATGTTCATACCTCAACAAATAGCTTGACAAATTATAGAGACTATTTGACTGCAGATGCTGACTACTTTACTCCTCTTCCATCCACCATTGTGGGTAGCAGTA